CAAGGAGGTAGTGAAGTCTTCCAAGATCATTCAATGCAAAAACTTTTAAATTCTTGATGAAAGCTTGTAACAAATTAGAATTACTTTCTGTTACAATGATGTCATCAACATATATTAGAGGAAGAGTTATGTGATTATTTCCTATGAGAAAGAATAAAGTTGTGACTCTTGGTGTTCTTGAACCCCTCGTTCAAGCAGGGCATTTTTACTTATTTCAAACAATGTTCTTGGAGTCTATTCAATTTTCAAACCATAAATTGCCTTTGGCAATCTACAAATATTTTGAGGTTTTATTTTGATATTCAAAGCCCCTAAGTTGTTGCATAAAGACAATTTCTTTGAGATGACAATTCAAAGAAGGCATTGTTGATATCCATCGGTCTCACTTCCCATTTAAAATAAACAACTAACGTCAATATGATTTCGATCACTGTGATTGCTTTGATCACAAAGCTGAAAGTATCCTCATAATCTAGGTCTATTGTTGAAATCACTTACCAACTAATCTAGCTTTCCATTGTCCTATCTGTCATGTACTTCACATTCTTTTAACCATCATAGGTTACTAAAGTCCATGTTCTGTTACATATTAGTGCTCTAAATTCAAATTCCTTGTTTTTTCTTTAGAATGGTTTTTGCAAGGCTTTTGTTACACTTTCAGGCTTTTTTTCTTCAAGTTGTCTCCTAATTGTTCCTACATAAGGTTGTTTGGGCTTAAAAATCTCACTTTTCCTTCTAATCTATGCTGTTAAAAGAAAACAGAGAAGAAGAAAAGAGGACTCATGTGTAATATTTGTTTTTCATTTCTCAACAAATTTAGATACAGAGTACAAGTATTTATATATTTCTGTTACACTCTAACTAACTCTAATATATGCATATTCCATGTGTTTGCAAGTTTAAAAGAAGTAAAGTCATCATCTGTATTAGCAATGTTTGTGAGTGAGTTGAGTGTTGGTTTCGTCATTTTGGTTCTATTCTCTTGCTGCAAAAGTTAATTGAAGGTTGCTCATTCTTTTGAGAGGTTCTATTAGATAAACCTAGCTGGATTTTGCAACTTTTTAATGAATTTATGTTGCTACAGTGATCGTTGCCATCACCTTGCATTGTTTTTCCTGTAATTGCTCCTTGAGTTTTTGCTAGTTAATTTTTTTTCTTCTTCAAGATCTCTTACAGAAATAAAAGATGTAAAATAAGGTAGGAATCTAAGTTGAAATTTTAACCAGCTGTTTTAAGAAAACCTTTATGGAAAGGAAAAATGTTTTTCATGTAACCCTACATGTCTAGATATAAAGACCTAGTCTGTGAAACACTTACACTAGTAGCCTTTGTGAGAGCTACGATTTAAAAGAATTTAGATAAATTCGATTGAGGCAAACTTATGCACCAAATGTGAAACGACGAAATGCTTGTAATATATATTAGACCAGTACCTTACAGCTAGAGATATTCATATATGGTCATAAAAGTGTTTATTATGATAGTTTTTCTTCATATACACACAACTCTCTATCTGTAGGAGGGGAAAACCAATAATGTTGAACCAATATTTCTTACAAACAACAGTACCTAAAGTGATATTTAGTTCATGGAAGATTTTCTTGGTCTTTGACAAAGCGGTACTGAAACTAGTGTTTACCCTATATGATGTGCATTGACTCCAAAGGAATTCCTAAAGTCTCGGGCAAGAAAAAAACAAAGATTGTCATGACCACAATCCAACCCGCATAGAACAAGAAAGGCACCAAACTCAAAGTGGCATAGCATTCAAGAATGTTTGGGATAATATAAATATGGTTATGAACTGCATTGCAACAGCTATGCTTTGTCCAGTGGTAGCACCAATACTACAATTGCATTTGCCTTCGATACATCCTTTGTACCACTAACACCGATCACCACTGCTAGCACAACAGACACCGCAATCTTCCCATCAGTGGTCACTAAAATTGTGAATATTAGTATAACAATCCTGTGCCAAATAATCCCAATAAATAAGCTGTATATAAACATCAAACACATACTAGTATTATAGTTTATAGAAGTCATTGGATAAATGTATGTTTGTCATAACTAAGTTTTATAATAAATAAATATTTTAAAATTTTTAATATTGAAGTTGTTTCGAATTTATGGTAAATAATTTATATTTTGATATAAGATTATTTTTATTTAATTGATAATACTTTTAAAAATATTAAATCTTAGTTTATAAATAAAAATGATTTTTTAAAGAGATAGTATCTAAAAAAATAAATATAAGAATAAAAATAAAAGGAAAGTAATTCATGATAATTGAAAAAAGGTTTAAATATCTTTTTGGTTTTTGAAATATACTTTTTTTTTTCTTTTGGTCTCTAAAGTTTTTATGCTTAACTTTGGTCCTTAAAAAATATCTTTTTTTAGTTCATGTTGTGACTTTTTTCACCGTTTTGGTTGACATGTCAAATATCAAGTAGTAATTAAATTCATTTGAAATGATGTTCAAATATTTGACACATCATCCAAAATTGAAAAAAAAATTATGACAGAAAATAAAATAAAAAAAATATTTTACAGGACCAAAAGTTTAGCAAAACCTTTTTAGGGACAAAGATAAAAAAACAAATATATTATAAAGATCAAAAAGATATTTAAGTCATTAAAAAAAATTCAATAAAAAATTAAGAAGTATATTTAAAAATAAAAATAAATTTCAATCCTCATTTTGGTTATATTCGAACTCTTGATGCAGAAGATGATTATTTTATAATTGAAGGCTTGCTCATTATTTTGAGAAGTTTTATTAGATAATCCTAGCAGGACCGATGTTGCAAAGTCATCTTGTGTTTCCTGTGATTTCTCCTTGAGTTGTTGCAGGTTATTTCTTTTCAATTTCTGTTATACAAAAATAAAACGGGTCAAAAATAAGGTAGCTTAGGGAGTCTAAGTTGAAATTTCAACCAACCTCTGCTAAGAAAACCTTCACGGAAAGGAAAATGTTTTTCATGTAAGTATTTAAAACTATATATGTCTACATATAAAGATCTAGTTTGTAGAACTCATTCACTTGTATCCTTTGTGGGAGTTACTATAATCAAGAAATATGTATTTTGTTGTATATATGAAATTGTTTTCTTTAATAAGCATGTTAATTGTTAATTGTTATATTAGTTAATAAAGAGATTCGAATTCATACCTCTTTATTACTTTAACTCTAATAGTATGTTTGGATGAAGAATTTTACAAATTTTAAGAATTTTAAGTTCTTGATATTTAATTTATTTTAATTTTAATTTCTACCATTCTTAAAATATTTTATTTAGATTAGTCAATTCAAATTTCTTAAATTTTAAATTGTTAAGTTGGATATGATAATTTGATTACATCATGATAAAATTGATTTTAAAAATATATTTATATGTTGAGTTTCTTAAATTAAATTTTACAAAAATAAATATTAGCTAATTTTTAAATATTTAATAATTTTAAAAATTAATATTAGATAATATTTAATAATTTTAAAAATATTTTTTGAATATTCAATAATTAGAAACATGAAGAGATAAGAGATAAGATAAAATATATAAGTGAAACAAAAAAAATATGAAGAATTTCAAATTCTTATTTTTTTTTGGAGAATTTAAAATTCTACTATTTTAAATTTTTTTACAAATGCTTGAATTTCAAATTTTTTGTAAATTCTCCATCCAAATAAAGTATTTCACCTCAGAATTTAAAAATTTTCAAACAAATGAATTACTCCATTTAAATTTTCCATCCAAAAACACTATATCTAAACACACTATAAGATCCTCCACCAAATCACTTAAACTACCTTATAACTCCTTGTTGTATGAAATTGTAGTTTGTGTTTGTTGTAATGTTTAAAGTATGGGTAATAGGTACAACTAAAATGATTTAAGGTTATATAATTGAATTTGGATCCTCTCATACAATTTTCTCTCTCCAGCCTCTCTCTTGTAACATTAATAGCCATTGGATATATCTAATAGCTCAAATTTAATCTTATAATTAATATAACTTCTTAAATGATTAAATTTGAGTCATTAAATATATCTAATAGCTATTAATGTTGCAAGAGAGGATCCAAATTATATATAATTTGGCTCTATTTGACTTAAAAGTGGGTAGGGATTTTGGTTGTCAATAACTAATGAAAACATCATATTAATACAGAATTATGTAGTGGAAAAGGCTTCCCACCAAAAATACAAGGACATCTTGACCTGAGCAAGAAGTGTTTAGTACTAATTCAACCATATGCCTATGTTTCCTCTCTTAAATCTACCATTTTGATTTTTTTTATCCGTACCACTTTGAGTATACATATATGAATAGGAAATTCTAATTTGGATTTTCATGTGCTATTTTTTGGATTGATCTATATTAATTCACATCTCGTTATAGCTGCAAGAATACACTCCTGTTTGTGATTGTGGTCCATCATTTGAATGCAAAATAGGTTTTGACTTTTAATGATTTAAAAAAAATAAATAACATTTTAGAATTGTTGCTGATATATTTTAGAAGGGGAGTAGACCTTCCGGCATAAAAGCTATTTTTTTTTGGATATGGATAGGAAATGCATATAAGGATAAGAAATTCTAATTTGGATTTTCTTGTGCTATTTTTTGGATTGATCTATATTAATTCACACCTCGTTATAGCTGCAAGAATACACTACTCTTTGTTGTGGTCCATCAATGCGCAAAATAGGTTTGACTTTTAATGATTTTAAAAAAATAATAACATCTTAGAATTATTGCTGTCTTGCTGATATATATTTTAGAATTGGAGTAGACCTTCCGGCATAAAAGCTTTAACTCCTCAATCAGATCGATGATACTATACATGTATACAACATGTTAATGAATTTAGATAAATTTGACTGACGCAAACTTATGCACCACATGTGAAACGATGAAAGCTTGTAATCCTATAATGGATCAGTGCCATACATGTACAGATGGTTATAATTAACTAGATAAACTTATATATGGTCATAAAAGTGTTTATTATGATATAGTTTTTCTTCATATACACAAAACCCTTTATCTGTAGAGGGAAAAGCCAATAATTTTCAACCATTGATTACAAACAACAGTACCTAGAGTGATATTTATTTCATGGATGATTTTCTTCGTGAACTTCTTTGACAAAGCGGCGCCAAAACCAGTGTTTACCCCATATGGTCTGCATTGACTCCAAGGGGATTCCTTTAGTCTCGGGCAAGAAAAATATAACAAAGATAGTCATGATCACAATCCAACCCGCATAGAACAAGAAGGCAGCGAACTTAAAGTGGCATAGCATTGACAAGAATGTTTGGGACAATATAAATATGGTTATGAACTGCACAGCAACAGCTATGCTTTGTCCAGTGGTTCTGATCTTTAAGGGGAAAATTTCACTCGGAATTAGCCAGGTGAGAGGGCCCCACGACCAACCAAAACCTCCCGAGTAGAAACAGAGAAGCACCAACACCAGAATTGCATTTCCCTTGGATACATCCTTTGTACCATGAACACCGGTCACCACTGCTAGCTCAGTAGACACCGCAATCTTCCCACCGGTGGTCACAAAAATTATGAATATTAGTATATCACCCAATAAACAAGTTATATATAAACATTAAACACATAACTAGTATATTTTAGTATACACAATATACAAGATATTTTGATATAAAGTTACTTTTATTTGATTAATGAAAGAATCAAAGTTAAGTATAATTTCTTAAATACAGGCCGGAAATATTTGTTATTTTTTAATCAAAGTTAAAATAGTATATGTAAATACATACTAATAAAATATACATTATATACAAGTGGATAATTAATATTAATATAAAACTTCAACTTTAATTGAAAATAATACTAATTATAATTAAGAAACTATATCTAACTTTTATCTTAATAAAAATATAATATAAAAAAATTTGTTACCTGGCAAACAAACATGACAAGGCCACCAGATATGAACAAGAATTTTCGACCAAAGCGATCAACAATAGCCGTGGAGATTAAGAGAGAAATAAGGTTGACTACTCCGAGTATAATGGTAGAAAGTAAAGCGGCATCGTGTCCAAAACCCACTGATTGAAAGAGGTTAGGAGAATAAAATGCAACGATGTTAATCCCCGTGAGCTGTTGAAAAAAGGGGATAAGAATCGCCATGACCAAATGGGGTCGATAGCGCCTCTCAAATATGGTCTTGAAGGGCTCCTCCTGCATAGATTTTGCAACTTGTGACATCCTAATGAGTTCTTCCAATTCGGGTTCAACGTCGATGGAGGATCCTCTGGCTTTGACCAAGGCCTTTCTGGCTTGGTCTATTTTGCCACGTTCAACCAAGCTGCTGGGAGTGTCAGTTACAAGGAAGGCACCACCTGTCATAACGGCTGCGGGGACCACGGCGAGGCCAAGAGAGACTCGCCACCCCCATGTATGATCCTTTGTTCCGAAGTTTATGCAGCCTGCGGCAAGCACTCCAACTGATATGAAAAATTGGAACCCTGTGTTGAAAGCTCCTCGCCATTTCGGTGGTGCGATTTCAGAAAGGTACAGTGGCGCAGCCTTTGAGAAAATATCATGTGCTTAATAATTTCACAGATTATAATTGAATTTCACTGAGACAAACATGACAATATTAATATTAATAGTGTGATAGAACGTGTTCACGATTTTTTTTTTTCTTTCTAATTTCGACTTTCTTGGCCTGATGACGAGTAATATATACTTTTGAGCATTTCTTTTACGCTTTAATGATGTGATAGAAGGTTGGACCCAGTCCGTTGATTCTTTTATTATTGGAAAATGATTTGTCAACCCTAAATTCAATGATACCTAAAGTTATAATTAAAGAGAAAGAAGGAAGAAAATTGGAGGTATGATTTGATGTGGTGAAAAGAAAAAGATAGGATAAAATATTAGTAGATATTAATAAAGTATTTAAAATAATTAGGTGTACGCATATTACTACTTTTTTTTTTAAGAAATTGGTTGTTATAAATTGGAGGATAAGACTACTTAAATTACTATGTAGTTCGACTACTTGGGTGATTGCCGCAGTTCTATTCTATATGTGGGATATAATAAAATGGAAAAATAATGGCCTACTTGTTGGAATTCAAAGTAAGACACTGAACGCAATTCTCTTTGCTTGTTTGGTTGGGTATGAATACGAACAGAGAAATTGCATTTTAGGGACCATTTTCTAGTATTATAACTAGGGTAGAAGATGATAAAATAAATTTAAAAAAAAAAAAAACTGAGATAAGTTAAGTGATGGAGAGAAACAAAATAAAAATTGAATTATAAAAAAATGTGTAAGAATAATAAAAGCACTAGCAGTATGAATCCTAGTGACTTTCCTAGAATCGTAGTGGGATATCTTTTGCCCCATTCTTATGGCGGGACTCATGGGACCATGTAGGGTTTATTAACAAGTGTATGAGATATGTATGCGTTGACTCACTTGATTAGTGAAACCGACGCCAAGGCCGAGCATGATACGGCCCAAAATGAGCATAGAGATATTTTCAGCACCTCCGTTAAGTCCACCACCGATAAGAAAGATGGTACCACCCAAAATGATGGTGTTTCTCCGACCCATGGCACTTGTGACTTTACTAGCTACAAGAGATGACACTAACCCAGCTAGGTATAGAGAAGACGTGAATAATGTCAATATCTGACTGTCATACACACAGTACATGTTTACTTCTGCACTAGCAGCCTTTCTCAGTATATCAGGGAAGAATTTCTTCAGAAATGGTACCATTGTTGTCACACCTCCTGAAATTTTTTCACATTTTCATTCAAAAGAAATGAAAGGATCAGCTTTATACATCCAATTTAATTAATTAGAACCTTCAATACCACATATATATTTATGCAAATACTTGTTTTCTGAAAATAGTGAATTGCAATTAAAATTAAACGGTTGTTAATCTAGACTGTGGTTTCTAGGCACATATTTACAAATTAAGGTCATTGCAATACTTTTCAAATGCAAACCATGTGCAAACCACAGAAGATGGATGTTTGACTTCATGTGCAAATTAAAATTAGGTTTGTCTTTTGCAAGTATAATAGATTGGCGTGTCACAAATAAGCCATGGTTCAATTATTCTGATCATTTGATTAAACACCAGAGATTCATGCTTGAAAATGCAGTTTTTCTTCCCTTGTGGAAACAATACATTCCTTTGGGGCAAAGACTAGTCTTCAGTAACAAAATAAGCAAAAAAACTCGTAAAACATATATTTATACAGTTATACTGTATTTCTTAAAGTTAGCTACGATTACTTATAAATTTTACTTGATTTAAAAACAAGTTTAACGACTATGTAAGCTGCGTCAGTTTACACTCTTAACAAATTAAAAATTAGTTTAACGTGACTTTTGAGGTGTTAGAATCAACAATCTTATATGTATGGTATGTATTATTTATGATCACTTATTATAATTATTACAAGTAGTTATTTATCTTTGGATGAAGGTATAAAATAAAATTAAACCACATGTGCATATAGTATTTTTTTTTTTCTTCTCAAAAATTACATTTACACCTCTTATTTCATGTATTATTTTTATTGATCAATTAACACTTTTTTTTTTTTATAGTAAAGATATGTTACTTTTATATCAATACACATAACACAATACCCTTAAAAATAATAAAAACAAGTAACATTATAATGTAACTAATTTTATAGAAAGCCCATGTATGACTCTTCATAACTAAACTGTATGGATAATGTTATTTATCTCGTAATTTTGTTAGTATATATTTTTCTACTTGATTTGCATGAACCATGTGTAAAACGAATTTATCAAACTAATATCAGCCTTCATAAAAGCAAATATATATCATGCTCTAATAAGAGGAAAAGATTTGAAAGAAAAGAAATTAAATAACCTGAAATACCGAGGTCATATCCAAAAATGAGTCCACTGGAAGCAACAACGATGCAAGTGATGATAACTGAGAGTGTTATTTTTCCAGCGAAGTCATTGTTTGGTGAATCCACTGCGAACCCTCCACCGGCCATTTTGGACCTCTTTCTATATCTCTGCTCGTCTCGTCAGGTTCTAAGCAGCAGTTATGCTATTTGTATTACTCAGTCTAACTGTGCAATGGCACGCATAATAATAAGAGAGATGCAATTAATTTATAGGCAAAGGGTTTTATGTGGACGCTGGATTTTGCAAGTGAAGAAACAGCGCTGGATTTTTTTTATCAATAAAAAATTTTCATCATATATGCTGACTTTCATGTTACACGCCAACGTTCATGAATTTTATTTTGCCATTTGCTCACTTGTATGATACATTCTTTTAGCTTAGTTTGACTATGTACATAAGTAACACTAGGCAGAGCCAGTGATTAGAAGCCAATTCAGGTTTGTGCATGCGTGGCTAACAATTCAAATTAATAATTGTCGGTCAACTCAGTACCGTACAAATTGTGTTATTCAAATTAATAATTATAATAAAAATATTTGTGGTCGAATGCAAATTAATATTAATATTAGTATTTTAACATGTGAAATAAATATGATATATTTTTATTTTGTATAATTGAAATTTATAATTAAATTATTATTTATCAGATGTATGATAAGTAACTTGTATTAATACGAAAACTATATTTAGCTATTACTAATTAATTGAAAAAATATTAAAATTTAATCTAAAAATAAAAATTATAAATTATAAAGAGATGAAAGATTTAGAAAACTACTTTTTCGTTGCAAAAGAAAAAATACAACCCAAAAAAACTTCTGTGGGAGAATAATCTTTAAATTCTCTCTTCGATCAGGTTATTATAATTTATATAGAGTAAAATAAATTTTTAAAAATATATTTTTACATTTTGTACAAGTTAATTCTACAACAGAAAAATATGCTTTATCATTGTCAAATATTTTTGTACACAATGATAGATTTACAACAAAATTATACTATATACAACCGGTATCCTTACTCTGTTGATATAATTAATTGTGGAAGGATCAAAGTTGAGGGTCAACTATCAATTGAGACATTAAAATATTATGTTTACTTGGTCACGTACAATGATTTTTCTAACGAGGAGCTGCAATTTGCTGGTATAGCTAATTATAAGCAGTCACCAAATGTTATCTTCCAAAGCCAGAGGTACAAAATAGGCTTACGTACGATAGTTATGTGAAGGGAAAAACGATATAATATTATAAACATCGTTAGTATTACTAATTAATTAAAATTGATATTTTATGTTAATTGTCACCGCTAATTTAGTTTTCAAGATAAAGACACAAACGATAGAATATTATAAACATCTTTACTATTACTAATTAATTAAAATTGATATTTTATGTTAATTGTCACTGCTAATTTAGTTTTCAAGATAAAGACACAGCAGCTATTATGCAAGGTGTGATGTAATGTAGATTTTGATTTGGAAATAATGCTAATTAACCATTTATACAGTTAATAATTTAAGTTTTACATCAAATTTCAAAGATAGAATTAATTAAAATCTCTTAATATATAAATTGAATTTATAAATTTTAAAATATTTAAAATTTATATAATATTTTATTATATAAATTTAAATTAATATATAAAATATTTTAATGGTTATTAGTCAATTTAAATTAATAAAAAATTATCAAATAGTTTTTAAATTTATAAAAATTTATAGACTTAATGAATTTTCAATTTAGCGATTATTGGATTCTTAAAATTTGGTAAGAAATATAAGTTATTAAATAAAATAAATTTATTAAAATTTATTTTTGAAGTAAGTGAATCTCTTTTTATTTATATAATATAATATTTAAATTTTGTGATCTTAATGTCTTATAACACATATTGATCTTACTCCATGCATGTACGTGTTCGTAATTTTACAAAGGTAAAGAAAAATGAAAAAAATAAATAAAATATTTAGTTTGACAAAATAATCGAATTCATATTTGTTACACTTCCGTATTTTAGTTAAAATTAGGTGTAATTTGTTAACTTACTTTAATATTTAAAAAATAATTAAATGTAAGTTAACAAATGTTTGAAAAGATTTGCTAATTAATATACACTCACTTCCACTACAAAAAATTATCTTGTAATAATATTCTATTTAATATTTATTATTAAAAATTATTTTTATTTATAATTATATTCTCATTAATTATTATTAAAAAACATATGTATAAATTATAGTAATACACAATGTTATTATATGTTATTGAATCTTATTTAAGATTAACATTGAATTTGTGTGATACTAAATGTCAAAGAGACCATTAAAGAATAGAGCTAGTACATTATATTTAGAAGATAACATTTCAAGTGTTTTATAATTGATGATATTTAATTATATCTGAGTAGAATAGTTATTTGTAACCAACGGAGGGTCACAGGAAAACAAATCGTGCGGAACTAATCCATTATTAACTACGTACAAACTAAAATTAAAGTGATATATAGTACACTTCAATATATAAACTTACAAACAGCATACATGTATATAGTAAATTCAGATATAGAAACAAAACATTGTAGTTGTAACTTGTACGAAGGCATTGCCAATGATTATCATCTTTTGAGACTTACAAACAGAACCTACATTAGGGAGTGCCAATAATGTTCATGGATGATTATCTTGGTCAACTACTCCGGTAACAAACCTCCGCCAAAACCAGTGTTTGTCCCATATGGTGTTCATTGACTCCAAAGGAATTCCTTTGGTCTCAGGCAAGAAAAACACAACGAAGAGAGTCATCACTGCAATCCAAAATGCATAGAACAAGAAGGCCCCGAACTTAAAGTGGCACAGCATTGTCAAGAATGTCTGTGATAACGCAAACAGTGCTATGAACTGCATCCCAACTGCTATGCTTTGCCCAGTGGTTCTGATTTTTAAGGGGAAAATTTCACTTGGAATTAGCCATGTCAGAGGACCCCACGACCAACCAAAACCTGCAGTATAAAAGCACAATAGCACCAATACCAATATTGCGTTACCCTTTGATATGTTTGTTGTACCATGAACACCAGTCATCTCAGCTAGCAAAGCAGACACCGCAATCTTCAAAGTAGTAACAAAAATTATGATTATTAATACCGATCATGTGTATTAAAAGTACAATAAATAATAAAATTCAATTGTGTCACTAATATTTGCTCAACATGGCTTAGGGATAAAACTTAATTAGATAATGTTAGTATGGTTCTTTAATTATATATAATTGAAATTTTATATCAATGATACGCGCTAACATTTTATTGAGACGGTATGAACAATATTTATATACCGTATGGTAGCCGACCAGGCCGAACACTTAAAAGGCCGACCGGGCCGAACCCGCAGAAATTAGTCCGATTAACCGTGCCTGTCGACCACTCGTACACGACTAAAACGTTTCGGTGTGGTCGGCCAAGCCAGCGCATCTGTCAGAATGCTTAAGAAAAGCTTAATTAAAGTAATCTATCGGATTAACCCCCTAATTTTCCGGGGCCCAGTCCTTAATCGCGGCCCAATACGAACACCTATAAATAGAGCCCCAACGAGGGACGTAGTTAGTTTTTGCCACCTACCGCATTTATTACACCGACCACTAACTTGAGCGTCGGAGTGTCTTTGCAGGCCCCCCCTACACTTCAGACTATTCAGAAAGGAACAAAGAGACTGAGACCTTCGACCCAAGACCCGACTCGCTACAACAAGGATAATTGGAGTGTGTATCCTAGCACAGGAACATTTGGCGCCCATCGTGGGGTCGAAGAGACATTTCAGCCCCTTTTAACCCTACCAACTGAGACCAAGACATGGTAGTTACCCGTAAAGGACAATCAACAACGACTCAGCCGATCCCTAACCCCCAAGATAATCCCGTCATGACCAACCGAGAGCGCTACCCGTACGGAATGCCCCAGACCCAACCGGAGCCTGTGGTACAACAGGTGCAGCCAAATACTGACCAAGGACAACCCAACTTCCAAGATGACTTGCATGCTTTACGAGAGGAAATGGCGGCCATCCGAAGGCAAAGAGAAGCCGATGCCCGCGAGCTGGCCGAGCTACGTCGACAAAATGCCGAGCTCCGAAACCTGAACCAAACTTACGTTCCATCCACTCCCACACTAGCAGAAGAGTCCGCCTATCACGCCCCGACTGATCAGGTCACCCGAACACCGGTCACCTCTCTGATAGCTAACAAGGCCGACACCCCCACTCACTCCCTGAGGCACCCCTTCTCTCGTAGAATAATGGAGGCAACCCTGCTAGACCACTGGAAAAGCATGCCGATTGAGAAGTACGATGGGTCCTCCGACCTTGAGGAACATTTGAACGTTTTCTTAACTCAAGCGACCCTATCCACTTAAGATGACTCGGCTTTGTGCCGAATATTCCCCACGTCGCTGAAAGGAAGAGCTTTGAGTAGGTTTACGAGACTGCCGAGTGCCTCCATTGATTCGTTTGCCGAGTTGTCATCCCAGTTCACCCTACAGTTCGCGACGAGTAAGCCGTACAAGACGACTTCGTTAGCCTTGGCGGGGGTCCGTCAAGAAAAGAAAGAGAGCCTAAGAAACTTCATGGACCGATTCAACAAGACTGCCATGGAGATTGGCGATCTTAATCCTGCCGTGGCATTGGACCGGCTGAGCACGACCCTTAGACCAAGACCGTTCGTGAACAGTTTGTGTAAAAAGCCACCTGCCGATATGAACGACCTCCGACGGCGAGCTGAGAAATACATGCAAATGGAGGAGTTGGCAAAAACCCGAAACCAAGCCAGAGCTGAAAAGGGCTACGGCCGAAAAGAGCCAGGTTGAGAGCCAATGAAAAAAGCGAATGTCGAGCCCTTGAATGTTAGACCGCCGAGGGGACCGCGCTACACAGCGTATACTCCCCTTAATGCGAGCAGAGCTAAGGTACTGGAGCAGGCTCTCGCATCCGAGATATTGATGATGCCCAAGAGGGCGAACACGCCTCCGAGGGCCGACAAGGCTAAGGCATGCCGATTTCACCGAAACCGGGGGCACTCAACAGAAGAATGCTCGACATTAAAAGACAAACTTGAGGACCTTATCAAGCAAGGCCACCTTGGAAACTTCGTAACGACGCAGGCCCACCGAACACGAGGGAGGGATCAGCACCCGCGTGAAGTGCCACAGCCGAGAGACCAACGCCACAGGTCCCGTTCGACTGAAAGGAGAGATCATTCACGAAGTTCCCGGGAAGACAAGGATCGGCCGAGGAAGATAATCAACACAATAGCCGGAGGCGAATCCACCTCTTCGGCAAGAAAGCGACACCTCCGCGCTGTCCGATCGGTTAACAGCGTGAACCAACTGAAGCTGCCGAGGATGCCACCTATAACATTTTCCGACCAGGATTTCCGTGGTGTCGACCCCGTTCAAGACGACCCTATGGTGATTTCAGTCGAAATGCACAACTGCATTGTGAAGAAAACGTTGGTCGACCAGGGGAGCTCAGCCGACATCTTGTACTGGAATACATTTGTACAGCTCGGAATTCCTGAGGAGAGCCTAGAACCATACCACGAACCACTGGTAGGTTTCTCAAGTGAGAGAGTGATGACGAGAGGGTGTATTGACCTGTACACCCGATTCGGTTTCGATCAAAAGCCTTCCCGAGAAGTCAAAATCCAATACATTGTGGTGCACGCAAACACGTCGTACAACATCTTATTGGGCCGACCCTCCATCAATGCCCTCGGGGCGATTGTCTCGACCCCCCACCTGTCCATGAAGTTTCTGTCGAGAGATGGACAAGTGATAACCATGCATGCCAATCAAAAAACAGCACGCGAATGTTATCTCTCCAGCCTTAAGATACAGCCACTGGCCGATTCCCCGAAGTCAAATGGTGTGCATGCAGTAGGGCAGCAAACGACGGAAAACATTGACCTCGATCCTCGGCTTGGTGAAGAAGAAATAATCGAGCCGGCCGAAGACCTTAAGCCTTTTCAGTTAGGCAGAGCACCCGAACAAGTCACAAACATGGGATCTCAGTTGAGCGAAGCCGACTCAAGCCGAGTCAAGTGTGTAGTCAGGGATAACCGAGACCTCTTCGCGTGGACGGCATCTGATATGTCGGGAATAGATCCCACATTTTTATGCCACCGATTAGCCGTATGTCGAGACGCGCGACCCGTCGCGCAAAAGAAAAGAAAGATGGGAGATGAGAAGCGAAAGGCCATGAATGTCGAGGTGAAAAAGTTGTTACAAGCTAAGTTCATAAGAGAAGTCACGTACACGACTTGGCTAGCCAACGTGGTTCTGGTGAAAAAGCCGAATGGAAAGTGGAGAATGTGCACCGACTACACCGACCTTAATAAAGCATGCCCCAAGGACGCTTATCCGCTTCCTTGCATTGACCGACTTGTCGACGGAGCGTCCGGGCACTCCATCTTCAGTTTCCTCGATGCCTATTCCGGCTACAATCAGATAAGGATGCACCCATCCGACGAGGAGAAGACGGCGTTCATCACTGAGAACGCCAACTTCTGTTACCGAGTCATGCCATTTGGACTGAAGAACGCCGGGGCGACCTATCAGAGGTTAATATGGACAAGGTGTTTCAGGGGCAAATCAGTCGAAACATCGAGATTTATGTGGACGATATGGTGGTCAAGTCCAATTCTCTCGCCGAGCCCATCACAGACCTAGCTGAAATTTTTGGCGAACTCCGCTAGCACAACATGCGGCTGAACCCCGAGAAGTGCACCTTCGGGGTCAAAGGAGGCAAATTCCTGGGCTTTATGCTATTGACAAGAGGCATAGAAGCAAATCGAGGCAAATGCCAGGCCGTTTTAAACATGCGAAGCCCGAGCAACCTCAAGGAATTGCAACGCCTCTCAGGAAGATTAGTCGCCTTGTCCCGATTTCTCCCGCGTCTAGGCGACAAAATTAGTTCGATGACGAAGCTCTTGCGCAAGGCCTCGGTGTTCTCATGGAAGGAACCATGCGAAGAGGCCTTCAGGGCGTTGAAGGCAACCTTGGCGACGCCGCCGATCCTGGCGAGACCTGTTCCTTTGAACCCGATTTTGGTATACTTGGCCATATCTGACGAAGCGATCAGCTTGGTCTTGGCGCAAGAAAAGGAGGGGACCCAAGCGCCCATATACTTTATCAGCCGACTCCTGCAGGACTCCGAGACTCGGTACCAACTGATAGAGAAGGTTGCACTCGGACTAGTGCACACCTCCCGACGCCTGCGACACTACTTCCAGAGCCATCAAATAGTAGTACACACCAACTACCCGATTTCTAAGGTCTTGGGCAAACCCGAACTCGCCGGGAGAATGATGGCTTGGTCAGTGGAGCTCTCACAATTCGACATCACATACAAGCCAAGAGGGCCAATTAAAGCGCAGTGCTTGGCGGACTTCGTGAACGAGCTGCACCCACACGGCCATTTTGAGGAACAATGGTGGACCCTCCATGTGGACGGTTCCTCAAACTGCCAGGGGAGTGGAGCAGGAGTGATCTTAGAAGGGCCGAATGGTATTACATTGGAACAGTCCCTGCGTTTCCGATTCAAGGCCTCGAACAACCAGGCTAAGTACGAAGCTCTATTAGCCGGATTGAGGCTGGCCGAGGACATGGGTGCCTCGAGAATCAAATGTTCGACCGATTCCAAGGTTGTGGTCGAGCAGGTGGGTGGAAACTTTCAAGTCAAAGACCATATGATGATGAAATACTACCATGCCTACCAAAAAATGAAGGCGAGCTTTCAGGAGGTGTCGGTCGAGCACATACCGCGCGAGAATAACGCGCGCGCCGATCAATTGGCAAGGTTGGCCGCGACCAAGAGGCCCTGAGACGCAGTTAGGCACTTGAGTAGTGGAGTGGAAATGCCACGTTTGAATAATTCATCCCCGATGATGACGAACTTAGCCGATCTCATCCTCATCTTCCAAGCTTTGTCCTTATCTTCGGGCAAGGTCCCTTCTTTCAGGTAGTTCCAGATGTTTGTCATCCACCCTAGGTCCTCGTTGTCACTGACATTGACGATTTTATCGTCCAAGCTGGGTGAGTGCAGTGTTTCCTGGATGATGA